TTAATTTAATTTTGTATTTTGGCTAAGTTTGTAAAAAAAACCAACAAACCTGGGTTTTTTGTATGCTCATAATCTTTTATGGTCTCTACCTAGTTAAAATGTAATTTTGTGGTTTTAGGTGAACAAGATGTGGCTACAGTTTTGCCTCATTACCTCAGTGTCATGGAGAATATGCCACCTTTAACAGTCAATGCCCCAGAATCCTTTATAACAGCCAGCGTGAAAACAGAAGAATCAAGCTCATCTTTACCTGCGAATGAAACTCAAACACTAGATACGACATATGTAGGAAACAAATCACCTGCTGCAAGTTCTGAAAGCTCAATGGCTGGCAGCCCAGATACGGAGTCACCTGTGTTGGTGAATGAATATGTATGTATATTTCAGTTAAGATACATCCAAGATAAAATAACTTTTTTTCTATTTCAGTGTTGTTTCTAGTTTCTAGTCTTGTTCATGTTTCGTCTGCAAATTTTATGTGAGCATTTTTTCTTAATGTACTTCATTAGTCAAAATTCTAGTTTTGGAGTGAAAGTAAATCAAAGTAGCACTGTTCTTTTAAATGTTACTATTTTTTATTACAGGAAGCTGGTTCTGGAAATGTAAGTCAAAAATCTGATGAAGATGACTTTGTGAAAGTGGAAGACTTGCCCCTTAAACTTGCTGTGTATTCAGAGGTATTTTGCTATTGTAGGTGGGGTGATTGTTTCAAAGTGCATACTCAAAATGTCTTCATTATCAAGACAGCAATAAGTTATCCAGAATACTGAGTTTTGCTTTATCTGTTACAAAGGCAGATTTAATGAAGAAAATAGCAACAGAGGCCCAGACCAACAATTTGTCTGATGAGTTACTGGATGGTGGTGGAGCTCAAGATCAAGAATTAGTAGGAGATGCCCAAACTCTGAAAGAGCCTGGTAAAGATTATTTTCTACACCTATTGGGAAAAGACTCTGATTTGGTCTAGGATTTAAGTATCTTGGTTATTACTGATTGAAGCAGGCAGTTATCATGGTGCCGGAAGAATATCCGGTTTTGTTATCATGCATTTGAAAATGTTGTATTGATATGAAGGGATTTTGCCTTCCACGTACCTTCTATGTACTTCTGTTAGATTCTGTGGGTAATAAAGTTATAAACATCAATATATTTTAAGTGCATGTTATAACTTTATGGGTTTTAAACTTTTATTGAAATGGAATAGTATTTTTGTTAGTTACACAAGTTTGGGTTTAATGATGCTGTACATTCTAATTGCACTTACCTAATGCTCAATAGAATTTGCTGGCAGAATGCTCAATATTCTTGTAATAGAAAAATTCAAGAGACTTTTCAGAATAGTAAAATATCTCCTCAGGAAAAAGAAAAATATTTTTTCTATGAAGCACACCATGACCTAGAAACCATTTTCAGTGTGAATGACTACAGTAAAGATTTGTCACTTTCTTGAAACAGTATTTATGTAGCTACAACAACTTAATGGTAATGCAGGTCAAAGAGACCTTTCTTTTTCTAATATAATGTTGATATTGTGACAACTTACGGTATTAGAGGCTTCTGTTCTGTTGGTAGGAAGATAGATTAATGGCATATGTCTATGCATGAACTGGATGTTCTGATGGTACTAATTTTCTGCTAGTGTAGCTAGTTCCAATCCCTCAGACAGTATAAGCCGATGAAAATAGTTTTTTAAATGTAGCTGTAGTGACAGCATAGCATTTTCTAATAGAGAGTGTGAAGGAAGATGCATCTTTCCGTTTCATTCATTGCCTATCACCATTCTGCTTGTCATGGCTATGCTAGCAGAAGTCTTTTGTGTCAGTTTGGTGAATACTGATGCACATTTATATGCCTAGTGTGGAACTAGTCTGGCTAAGAATGCCATGCCCCACAAAAAAATCAGTTGGCAGCAACTAAGCCATTCTTCTCCTGTGTGTGGGGAATGGCTGCAGCTGTTCAAGTAAGTCATGGCTCAGAGTGCTTCTGGGGAAAAAGGTGGTGATGAAGTATTTCATCGAGGTTCTTTAACGGATGCTTAGGAGCTGAAATGTACTCAAGAGTTGTGTTTGATGCCTTATAGCTGTTAGGCAATAATGAGTGTACTTTTATTTTACAGGAACTTTTGGAGCTCAGAGTGTATAAGAATAACCTGAAGAGATATCTGCATTTATAAACTCCATGTATACAAATGCATTTGAAAGATGAGCACCGATTTCCCACAATTCTAGAAGTGTATAAAAATGTACAATTTTTGACACATTGCCTCTTAGAATAGGAATGCTAACTTCTGCCTGTGGCAGTTTGAACATCTGGAACTGAATCCTCTATTCAGTTTTTCTGCACTGTTCTTTTTCTGTCTGAATCTTTTCTTATTTTTTATTGTGACTTGTTTAGTAATTTTAAAATTGTTCAAAATGGTAGTTTTAAATAAAGTTTAGACTTGTCTGTAAATTTGTCTTTAAAAGATTTTCCTCTGGCTTACAAAATTGTATGCTGAGTTTCTTGTTGAAACGTAGTTGACTTTAAGTGTTGGCATGCTTGTAGGCATTTGTTACTCCTCTTTAGCTAACTTTGCTAATTTTCTTGAGACAAGAGACCCTTGTCTCACCAAGTCTCTTCCATTTATAAAAATATGAGGTGTAGACACAGTATGTACCTACCTGTCTTTATAGCCTAAGTATAGCTGGTTTGTGTTTAAAAAAAACCAACACATTCTGTTCATGCCTTGTGAAATGTGTCCTATCAGCACATTTACCTGAGGTGAAACAAGCACCTTGGTTTCATAGTTAACTGCAGAAACCATCTGGATTTTCTCTGCATTTTCTGTTTTGCATTTTTAACATGCAAAGGGATAAACCTGTCTGGAAAAAACTTTAGTATTCTTTCTATGTAACACACAATTGCTGCATTTTAAAGCCTTTAAGGTTTATTCCTCAAGTATTGGACTTCGTAAAGGGTTTTTGTGTAGAAAGGAAGAAATTTAGGAAGTTACAATTAAAGTTTGTTTTTTTAAAAAGTTTAAGTCAGCACCTAATGAAGTTTCATGGCAAAGGTGGAATTAGGATTGTAGAATAGTAGATAGGACATTTTCTTCTGGTTCAAGTTTTCTTTTTTCAGATCAGTTGCAAATACCAGTAAGTCATAAAATTGAGCAGGAAACAGTTGTCAGTGTATCTGCTGCATTATAGAGCTTCTGTTTACCCTAAACAAACACAAGACTTTGAGAAAAGTAGTTTAAAAGCAATGATCATCTTTAATTCAGGATTGTCTTCCTTCTGAGGTTAGTGTAATAATATGGCTGTGTGCTGTGGGAGACAGTCTGGTGATCGTGGAGCCTTAATATGCCTCAAGTTTAAATAAAATAAGAGAGTGATTCTTGTGATTTTTAAAAAAAAATTCGGTTTTGTTTGGTTGTTTTTGTGGTTTTTTTCTTTAGGTTTTATGAGTGAGTTTTGCAATGGTAGATTACAGTCACATGCCTCTTACCTTCTCCAAAGACCAACTCTATCAAAAGGTTTGAAGACAGCTTTGTTACCATGCAGGCTTTAGACTCACAGTGGTACTGTATACAGAAAAAAACTTGAGAATTTTGAGGATAGAGGAAATACATTGTAACAAAGGCAATCCTGTGGAAGTGAAACAAAATTAAGTGTTTAATCACTAACTTGACACAAAATCATTCACTAGACCCAAGAGAGGACATTTTCATGAAGCAGACAAAGGAGATTGTGTGTATTTGAGACAAGTCTAGTTTATATGGTAAATCATTAAACTTAAATAGTAGCATGAGCACATACCATTCATGAATTCTTTCCCTGTTGGTGTATATGAACAATGCACTGAAATTATATTCCTTTGGTCATATTTTGTCTACCCTTTCTTCTCAGGATCACAGAATGGTTAAGGTTGGTAGGGATTTTGGAGGTCATCTTGTTCAACTCCCCTGCTTAGGCAGGTTGCCCAGGACTATGCTGAGGTGGTTTCTGAGTATCTCCAAGGTGGAAAACCCTACAGCCTCTCTGGGCAACCTATGCCAATGCTTAGTCATCCTTAAAGTAGAAAAAAATAAAATAAAAAGGTGTCTCCTAACATTCTGAGGGAATGTTTCAGTGTAAGCAGTAGAAAATAAAAGTAGACTACAAGGGCATGAACAGTAGAATTGCTGAGGAAGTTATGCTGTCTTATATTCTGATGCCAGTCCTACTCATATCTAGTTCAGTTCAAGTGGAATGTCTTCTTCCTTCCAGTGGTAGGAAAAATTTTGCTTAAAATGACTACAGGAGACCAAATGAGATATAAGCGGCAGGGTCTTCTGCTTGATGCATTGCTTGCTTCCTTACCAATCTAGACCAAAATGAATGTTGTATTTTACTGTCCAGTATCCATTGCCTAGTTCATAATTTCAGAGAGAGCTCTGTGGAGCAATGAGTACAAGGAATTGAGATAATTATTTTTACAATGTAAGTTAAGAGGCCAGGGCTGGTTTTCTTCTGTAGATAACAATTTACTAGCAGCTCTTCCCTTCAAAGGAGGTTGCTGTACAGCACCTGTCTGGACTGTTGTATAGTGAGTGACCTAACAGGACACACTGGCAGGGAGCAGAACCAGATCATGTTGCACACTACTGGAAGTATTTGCTACTTGCAAGCAAGGCAAAATAATTAAATTCTTACAATAGATTGCAACATTGCTTTTGCAACTTTTATTTTTATCAGATCTCATTGTACCTGAAATGATTCATGCTCCAAACTAATTACAGCATTCACAAAGTCTAAGCATTAAGACAACAGAAAACACATAGTAACTTCAGGTTGTTTGTGCTGCAGTGCCACTGCAGGATTTACCTACTGCAGGATTACTACTATCTTGCTTAACGGCAACAAGTTCAAACAAAACTTTACCAATGAATGCTTTAACTTTGAAGAATGTAAGTTAAACTATCTTACTTCAAAGGAAACGTTCACCCATTTATACAAGTTTATATATTCATACACTAACAATTATTCAAAGACAGACTGGAACATTTCTTGCCCTACTTTTATATAAGCTTCTCTCTCTTCATTTGTCATGACAGACACAAGCTCTGGATTTTCACTGATCTCACCATATGAATGAGGCTGACCGGCTACCATTAAAATAGGACCTTGTGTGTCCTGTTCCTCCTCTTGTTCAAAGTTGCTGCTTGCTACTTTTATTCCCACTCTTGAGTGCTTAGCCTCTTCTTCAGATTCACTGGTATCACTGTTTGATTCAGGGTGTTTGCTTTTGACAGCAGGAGCCTGGTCTGTGCTAGATGATGACTTAGATTCATGGATCAGAAGAGTCTTGATTATTTCATTATCAGTGACAGTTTCTTTGACACTTTCTTCAGAAGCATTAACTGCTAATACACAAGATTAAGTGTTCAGAGGTATCAGTATTTTAGCTACTACAGGCATCCTAAACAATTCTTTCTAGCCTGGATCTTTTTTACCCACACTTTGGAATTCTCTTTGGAATTATCTCACAGACATTTCCAAGAGCTTCTTACTTTCAAGATTGCTGCTAATGTTACTGCATGGTTAGAGCCAAAAATTTCAGGACATGGTTTGTGACCTCTGGCTTCAGGAATACTACCTAAATCAGTCTTAGAAGACTGGTTTTATAGAAGCTAGCATTTGACAGGCGGTAGTGCAGAACTGAGACATTACTCTGTATTCTAAAATCAAGCTCACTACTTTTTCAATAGGAAAGTTATCTTTAAATGCAGTAAGGCTGAATTTAAGTATTTGCTAATGCTTAGAACTTACCAACACCATTGTTTGTGGTGGTTGTTGCTCCTTCCACAGTGCTCTGTGACATCCAGATAGGTTGCTTTTCAGTTGCTTTTACTCTTGTTTTCTCCTTGGACTCAGAGCCTTGGACATCAATAACTAAGTTTTGGGTATATATATTGCCAAAAGAGGAACTTCTGTTGGCCCATTTTTCAGGTCGGCTGCAGGATTCCAGCACACTTGAACGCACCTTGTGATCAAATCTGAATGAAATGTCACCCAATTTGGACAGGTTAAGTGCAGGCAAGACCCCCTGCACCCCAATTCCCCATCAAAAAATGGTGAAAAAAAAAGCTTGTTTTGTCAGCAGACAAACTCTAACTTAAAGTGCTTTATATTAAAACAATTTGCAGTCTGCATTACCTTATCACAGAGGCAAGTGACTCTGAGACACTGTTTTTTGCATGGTCTCTTCAGTAGTGCATCCCTGACACAAATACTACTTTTCACAAGAAGGGCTATGACCATACTAACGGAAGAAGTAGTCTGTAAGATTATTCCTTAAAACAAAAAAGGTAGCAAAAATAAAACTACAAATGCACAACAGTAATTTAGAATATCTTGGACATTCCAGGCTTCTTCATTAAATGGCTGACAGTACAGAACAAAGCAAAACAGACCAGAAAAGAAGGTGCCAGATCAGTATTTCAAAGATTTTACAACTGAAGGGTTTTGGAGGATTTTTTAGTTGATCAGAATTTCTAGAGTTATGTTTATACCTTTCTGATAATTCTGGTATTTCTGTTGGCTGAGGCTCTAGCAAGTCATATGGCAGAATGATCTCTTCAGTCTCACGCAGGAGCACAAAGATGGGTTCCATCTGCTCATTGAATTTCGCTAGCAACGTTCGAGCGTCGCGCTTAAGAAGTGCTGAGGCATCTTCCTCCACTTCAGTGTTGCAGTAAGTGCAGCGAAAAGTCTCTGCAACAGTATCCAAATTGGAGATTCTCATGTTCATAGGATGCAAAGGATAAGCAGTACCTTGTTAAGAAATCCACAGCCTGGACAATTACCAAAATGTAATGACTGCACTAGACTTTACCCATTTGTTCACATTAACTAGAGGAGCTCAAATTATAAAGGGAAGTAATTTTTTTTTCTTTTTTTTTGAGAAGGAGTGATATTTACACACTTGCTGTGCAAGACAAATGTCTGTATTGGGGGAAAAATTAAGTTGGCTAAATATGGAATATCATCAGATAGTACAGTTTATTTTTTTACTCTCTGATCTCATCTTTTTCTTAGTTCATAGTATAAGAAAAAAATACATTTGCAAACATAAATAGCACCTGATTTTATTTGTTCGGAGTTCTAAAGTTCAAAGAAACTCATTTAGAGTCAAAACATGTTCTAATAAAATATATCACTAGCCTCAATATTGGCTCTTCAGTAACTTGACAAAGTCCCATTTAGAACAAAGGGGGTGGTTTGGCTAACTGACAGTACACTAACTTCACCTTTGAAGTGTCAAGGAAGTCACAGTTCATTGTCCCTGGCTCTAGCATCCTTTCCAGGTGCCACAACCCAGATGTTAATGCAGTAGCTGCACTAAATGTGTTGTCCTATGAAGCATTTAAACTCATTTTGGAAGAGTCCTGTATTTAGATATTTTGATTTTAGAAAAGAGAAACCTGCAAGCTCTGATGCCACTTCCACTGTGGATGATTTGCGTTGCCCTGGGTGGTTCCTAAACTTGACCATTTCCGGCACAGGAGTGACAGAACAAGCTGCAATACACTTAGTAGAGTAAGTGGCTGCAAACAGCTTTATCCGTCTTGTCCAACTCCTCTGTCAGAAGAACTGAGCCCACAAACTTGTTAACAAAGTCAAGGACAGAGCAGAAGGGGTGCTGTATTCTCATTTGCATATGAGGAAGTGGGACTCAAGACTTGGATGAGTAAACCTAGGTTATGAGTCTTGTTCCTAGCTGAGGCCTGAAATCTGATTCCCAACTCCAGCTCTTGTATTCAAGATTATTTCCTCTTTCTTGGCCTGTTCTATAGAGATAGCTTTTTCTTTTACCCTCACCTCCAAGCTTTTCCTCTCCCAGGCCCTTGTTCACCAGCAAACAAGAAGTATGTCCTAACAAACATGCTTTTATTGCAAAGTTCACACAGGAGCCAATTTTGTGCTATTAGATTTATTCTCTAAGCTAAGATCAAATAATCCACATACCTGTAAACACATCGAACAGCTGATTGGCTTCCAGGTCTGTGTAAATGCTGGAGCAAGATGGACATTTAAAAGAGGACCTAGTAGTTGAATCCCGCTCGTCTGCTTCTATCTGCCGGCGTACATGATCCAGTTTGTATTTTACCACATCCACCAGCACCTTGTAATTGATGTAATAGTAATTGTGCCTTGTGCTCTTCCCGTCGGGCCCCGTTTCAACTCTCATCCGCAGCTTCACTAACTTGTCTGCCTTGAGCCCGTTGAGCACAGTGCGCAGCTGCTTTCGCTCATACTTGAGCAGCTGTAACAAGTCGTCCTCTCTCACACAGGGGTAGCGGATCAGCACATCAAGAGCCAGGGAGTACTCGACCCCATAGAAACCGCGCGCTATGTACTTGGCTAGGCGCTTCAGGGCTGCTGGGACCTCTGAGAGAAGGTTTTGCTCTTCCATCGAAGCTGAACTGCATAACAAACAGAAGGGAGGTGAGCTGTAGGGAACCCTTTGTAGAGCTCACAGGCAGGGATAATAGCAGGTCACCTGCTATGCTGCACTTCTGCGAGAGTTCTCGCTGAATAGATTAATGTAAAACCCTTAACCTGCACCTGGAGACGGGAAATGTATCAATAGGTATCAAAGATTACCTAATCTTCAGGTACGATGATTACACTTGACATATTCATACCCTCTTGTGTAAAAACCTACAGACAATATCTAGGAAAACAAGGTACAGAGGATGGCACAGTTGACTTGCATGTCTAGGTCTGCCTGAAGTGTATTTTCACTCACAGCCAGCCAAGTAGGATCTGAATCAAACACTATGCCTTCAACAGTAAAGCTCAGGATACAAGTTGGGCAAGAAATCTTTAGCTTAACTCATAACAATATACGAAATAGATGAGACTGTGGCAAAGCCACAAGAGGTGTTTGAGGACCTTTTAGCTTGCTCTTTGTTTTGTCTACTGGCTGCTGTGGTCAAAGGCCTAGCAAAGCTGGGGCAGAGGATGCTCCCTCTTGTCTGCCACTGTCCTTACTCAACACAGGGTGTTTGGAGTTGTGCCTGCTTGTTCCACCACACTAAATCACCAAGGGAACTTCTGCAGCATAACATTTTTCTCCTTGGTACTCTTCTCCCCTGTAGAAACGGCTTCTGGCAAGAATCAATTCCTAATCCCATTAACTAGAATGTAACTGATTTCAATCAGTCCAACTGTTGTAACTGTTTCTTACTTGTAAGCAGTAGAGGGAGATGAAAAAAAACAGAGGTATGTTTCAGTAAAGCCACATCCCCATTCCTTTATTTGAGGCATGTTAAAATCCTAGAGGACTATTTGATACGGCAGCCTCTAGCCAGGTTGCTTTGCAGAGAACCCATGAAACATGCAGCCAAATAGCACTGGTGTAGCCACGGGATCAGAAGGTGGACTGGTAGTGGGATGGCATGTTATGGCATGGTACCTTGCCAGCACTGGCATCCACTGCTGAGGGGCACCTTACTCAAGCCCATGTGATTGCATAATGCTACATTAAGCTTCCAGGTGACCTTCATTGGAAGTTCTAGTTAAACAAAACCAAAACACCTACTTACAGTAGCCTGACGGTTAAGCCATAAATAAGTTTGCATATCGCAGGGGAAGCACTACCTTTTGGTTAACCTAAACCAAATGCTGGTCTAAGGCTCAAAATCCCAAAGGCAAGAGCACCACACTGACCTAAGTTTCCCACAGCAAGAATGGGGGAACACTGCAATAGGCTGCCCAGGGAGGAGGTCGAGTCTCTATTCTTCAGCTGGACAACAGTCTGAGCAGCCTGACCTTGCTTTCAGTGTAGTTGTGCCATGAGCAAGAATTATAAGAGCATTTGTATGCTTTTTCACAAAAGCCTTGAGGAAGAAGGAATTTATGTTGTTTTTTTTAAATTATAATTTGCTCTTTCACTTCTTTGCCTTTATCCTCAAAAAAGGTTTAACTGAACAGTGCTACTGTCATGTGCTAGCAGGCCAGAGTAGCTCATCACAGACTATACAGGCAATATTCCCTTCCACAGGGAGGAAAGCACAGGGCCTTGAGCTCGGCCAAATCCCCCAGAAGCTATATATATATATATATATATCCTGCTCTTGCTGCCAGCCAAGCCCTAGCAAGGGTGTGACACACCATCTGTGTGCATATGTGCGATGTGACTGTGGTGGGATAGGGGCATACTCTGCTCAAGAGGCAGGAACTCCAGCTGCTGGGAAGATAACAGAAGTTTAATTAAAAAAAAAAATACTGCAATCCACCTCCTCCTTTGTTGGATGAGCTACCCTGAGTTGCTAGTGCGTTCTCTGCCAGATAAAACCATACACAGACCTATCAGATAAAAAGTTAGTGAGCAGAGTGGCTATCCTTCAGCCACTCAACCATGTTCATGTCCCAGCTGTGCTCCAAGTGCTCTCTGCTCTTAGAGCTGAGTAGGCTTTCTTTTTAAGTCAGTATACAGGTATGCAGAGGAAATGATCTGAACAGTAAGAATAGCCAAAAAGCTTCAGACAGCAGAGCAGCTACAGTGCAGGACAGTTTATATTAACTGCTTTTCACCCAGGGCTGTGTTTTAATCACAGTGACACTTCACCATAAAACTCAATATTTCTAGAGCACAGACATGCTAACTTATGCCAAAGATTTCTCTCTTTTCATCTTTCTAGCTGCACAGTTTTTGAATTTGTTCTGTGCAGTAGCTCATACTTAGCCAGAAGGAAGGATGGAAAGTGTCCTCAGCCAGCTCCAGCAATCAGAAGCATGGCTTTCAGTCTCCTTAGGCTCGAGCACTGAGCCTTGTCCTTCTGCACTGTGGGCAAACAGCCTACAGAAGGGAAGCACTGCAGTCCCTGGTACAGGCCCAAAGTAAGGCACCTGTCATATATTTCTGTGACCCAGTCTAGCCCTACCAAGGAGGGGATATGGTACCAGTCACATGCATTAGTCTGGATGAGCATCTCTGAAAGCTCCAGCAGAGATGCCCTCTGTGTGGATAAGCTTTACATGAACATCAGTTGGATTGTGACACTATTAAAAAAAGAACAAAACCACTTCTGCATCTAGTTCTTGGCTAACGGGAACTTAACCCTGACACTTAAACAACTTGTATTAGGAGCAGATCTCATTACTTTTTTCTTACTATAAGTCAAGTACAGATTGAAATAATTTCAAAGGGAGAATGGCAAGTAGATAACATTACTAAAGAAGAAGCAGGACCTGAACTGTAAGCTTGAGGTTTGCTGACCTATCAGTTCTGTAGATGACTCCTTATCCCAGACATGCATTGCACTCTTCCACTTCTAAAACAAGCAGTACTCCCAAGTGTTAGGAAGTCTATACTGTGCTGAAGTGCCTCCAGGTGCCCTGATGTTAAAAGCTTGTCATCTCCAGAATCTTAAAACCACATAGACTATTCAGGAAAGGAAAAAGAAAACAACCTCACAAACGAAAAAAATAAAACCCAAATAACAAACCAAAACCACACAACCAAAGACCACCTACAAAAATCCCACCACACCCACACAACAGAACTCCTGTATAATTCACATATACTGTAAATATAAGAAATATATCCTGGGAAAAGAGCGAAAAGCATTTTTCAACAACAAATCTATAGAACCCACTGTCCATTTGCAGTGGAAATTCAGATATGCAAACATTTGAAATAATGTAAAAGGTACAAAAGTGGCTTTTTACAAAAATGGCTGAATTTGCTCTGAATAAAGAAAATACATATTCATAGAAAATACAAACCCCTCAAGAAGTGTTCCTTTAGGCTACAGAAGAACCAAACCTGTATGTATTTTGTAGTAAAAACTACACAAAATCACAGTCAGTGGGAAGCCCCCTCTACAGTTCTTAGGTATATCTGAGGTTGTCCTTCTGCAGTCCATTTTGAAAAACTTTTCCATCTTATAATCACCAAATCTAAAGTCTTGCAATTCAGGAAAACTGCTGGTTTTGAAATGCTGTTGTGTAGTTTCAAATACACAGGGTTATAGTCAATATGGAGCCATTATAATCTTCACCAAGGAGAGAGGAATGCAAGGCTTTGTTTTCCCTATAAGCAGGAACTACCTTTAGGATCCTCTTTTTGCTTTGGGAAATGTACAGAGTTGCTTGTGTTGGCAGGCAGCTATCAAAAGCAGAATTTCAAGCCAACAGGCATCAAACAGAGCAAGTTCTGCAAGGTTACTCAGAAGCCAGTTGCTTAATTAACAGTTTACTTGAGCTGCCTGAGAAGGCACACTACCTATCTCAGGCTTTAAAAGACACTAAACTGGAAAGATTCATTAAAGTAGTCTTTTGTCAGACTTCATATAACCATATTGTTTGCAAGCAAGTTAAAAACATTATCATTACCTCTCTTGCATAGGCAGAAAATTTCAGGGTGATCCTGTAGAAGGGTTACTCCTTTCCCAAGAGCTCAAAGTAACTGCAAAACAAGCTTAAGTATTTCCCAGCCTTTTCCTAGACCTGCCCGTGATAAGCCCTAGTTATCACCCAGCTGGAGCACGAGAGTCCCCAGACCACATTTCATTAGCACCTGAATTAATTTAGCCTTACGTACATTGCATCATGACAAAGTTATAAATCTTATTGCTCAACAAAATCCACCTACAACAGGCAAGGACTGAAAATGTAAGTTACTGCAATCTTTGATCAGTATTTACATTAGCATGACTTCAGAAGACTAAAAGTAACATAACAACTCTTTTTTACCTCGTTGCAACCCGAATATTTATTATAGGTAATCTACATAATTTGTGTTTAGAAGCTTTCATAACCAAACAAACTTGGAAGTGCAAAACTTCTGCAAAGAAAAAAAGCTAGGATATGTTTACTAGTTTTTACACTTTTACTTATTAATCTTTTTAGGTGGTTTATGTCTTAAGAAGAAAGGAAAAAGCAATTATTTCAGCATATTGCTCTAGAAGAAGTTATGGATGCTTTCATTGCCGTTTATTGGTGAGACATCTGTGTTCAAAAACAATGTTGAAATTAGGCTGCTAGAGACTGTACAGTCCAGGATTAAAATGCTGAATTCTATTAGGGTGGCAATCATGATATTCCATCTCAAATCCATGTGTCTTTCATGTGTTTTTTTTAATATGTGTGCAGTGGAGGCTGGTGCTTTATAGTGATGTGACTTAGGTCCTCTTGGGATGTGTTGCAGCATGTACTGTGCTTTTATTATTGCTGTTTGTTGGAATGCTGACTCTCTCCAACTTACCTGGCATGAGTCCTTGGAGAGCTCCAAAGGTGTGGGAGCTTGTCTGCATTGGATAGGTTGTGGGACTAGCATTTGTAAACATGACTATAGAAAGTAGTGCCTCTCAGAAATATTCAATACCAGAAAAGAAGCCTCATTGTAGCAAAAATTTGTATTTCAAAATACTTCAAAGGTTTGAGACTGCAGTTTAGGAATTGCAG